CTGAGAGCTCTCCCTCCCACCCTTCCCTGTTACTCAAATATCACCTCTTTAAACTCAATAGCACGGAGGGGAACTACCATCTTTAAATTTGCCATTCACCCAAAACAGTGTGCTTAAGTTTTAAAATACACATTTGTCAAAATACATCATACGAATAAAAGGGCTGTTCAGGCCAACAAAAGAGAACTAGGCTCCCGTTTCTTTCCCAGCAACCTCAACACTCACAGAAATGTAACGGCAATCCGTGTTATCCTTCACAGCCCAGCAATGTGGTTTTCGTATGCACACTGTGTCCAGAATACAACTTGGATTCAAAACGAAAGAAAAGAATCAAAGCGAAGGAGTGTGCTGAGTTCTGAGCCAAGTTTTAGCTAAGTATGAGGTTTCCTGGTGGTCTCATTCATCCCATCTTTTGTACCTCTCATTTTCTTCTTAAAAAAAGAAGCACAAAAGAACATTTAAGAAAAACTACAGATGAGTGTCACATAACCATCTGGAGATAAACAATTCATTTTCTTCATAACACATGCACAAAAATAAAATCATCACATGTGTAGGCATAAATTAGAGGTAAGCTAATTACAGTAACTTCAATTAAACAGTTAAGTCAAAAACTTAGGCATCAGTTGCAGTCTTCCCACAATAACGTTTTTTTGTAGAGCTGTTCCCTTCTACTTCCTCACTTCGCTTAATTATTAAAAGCTCAGGAAACTGGTTTCCGCCCGTGCCAATCTAAGAAAAATGTTCGATTCAGGGACATGTGCCACTATCATTCCCTCACTTCTGAGACTATTTCTAACTCTTGCTTCCACTACAACAGGATCTCTTGGTTTTTTCTTTCTACCTCCCTGACCAGTAACACCTGCAGGGACCTGTACGGGCTTGTCTCCCTCTGCTCATACTGTAAATGTATCCTCCTCCTGAAGTCTGCTTCTGAGTCTGTTCTCATATCTTCCTAGGTGATCACATCCACGGAATGATCACCTTGCTCACCCTCTCCCCCAGTTCCCTCTGGGGCAGCCCCCCGTGTCTACCATGTTTACACACCTGCTTCCTGGGAATATCCGCCTGTGTGTCCACTTACAAGGTGATCGTGCCATCCATTCAAATCTCTTCTAAGATTATTTTCTCTAACCCAGTGACTCATACCATTACTCACCCAGCCGCTCAGATCTGAAATCTGGACACCTACCATCACCTCTATGTTCACTTGGTCACCAAGTAACTTCTGTTCTATCAGAAATTCTAGCCTCAAATCTATCCTCTCTTCTGCACTGTTCCTACTTCCTCAGAACAGGGCCCCTCGTTTCTCTAACAGTGTGACCCAACAATCTCACAAGCAGCCTCCTGCCTCTGAGTCTGGGCTGCCGCCATGCAGCCCTTCCCCACTGCTGCCAGTGGACCCTCTCTTAAAGCTTTAAATCTCTGCTCCCCCACATTCGGGGTAAAGGCCAAGTTGCTCAGCCAGGTCTGCAGGTGCAGTGGCGGGTAAGTGTGGGAGCATCTGTACCACAGAGTCTGTTTTCTCACCACAGGATGAACCAAGATTACCCTTAGAGCAATGGGTAAGTGGAAGAGGAAGACTGTGGAGGTCTGAGATAAGACAGAAACCAATCTCAGAAACTGGTAACATTAAATTCACAAGGGAAGTCTTATAGCACTGCTGAGTAGAAGTGAGTTCCAACAGCAGGTTTCTGTCATGACTTCAAGGTGACAGAAGTCAGTGTCAGGTAAGGACCACCATCGTGCCAAGAAAATGAAAAGAGCTACTATGGTGCAAGTATGAAGACAGCCAAGAGGTGGGCTTCACGAGGGGTGCTGGGCTTTTGCCTGGTGAGCAAGACAGTGCATGCTACACGCGGGGCACTTTTCCAGGTGTAGGGACACAGCAAGGAGCAGAGCAAAGCTGCTCTCTGAATGGAGCTCACACTGTTGAGGAACAAACAAACAACACAGTTGCAGAGAGTGGTTAAATGGTATGTAGACTATAAAACTGGGTGGGGTTCAGAGCATTATTTGAGAACATTATTTATTAACATTATATTATTCTCAATTCTGCCAAGGATGGTCCTCAGCTAGCGCCAGTGCAATGAGTGCCTTATGGCAGTAGGACTCAACTCTCTAAATCTGCTTACTTTAGAGCTGAGATGAGGGGCATTCCTGAGAGGTGTTTTGTGGAGACCATAAAATCTTGGCTTGACTAGAATTGGGAAGACAGGGAGTGCAAAAGTGGATGGACCAGTGGATTCTAGAGTTAGATGAAATCAGAGACTGCTAAAGTGTGGTTCAGAGACCACACAATAGCTGAATTACAAAAGTAAGAGAAGTTTCTATTATATTGTGGAAACTAATGCAATTAAAATATCTGGTATAGTCTCGAATTGTTTGAGACAGACTTTGGTTTTTGAAAATGACGTGCATTAAAAAAGACTTTGACGGGGGAGGCTATGGTATATATGCTCAGCGGTAGAGCGTGTGCCTAGCATGCATGAGGTCCTGGGTTCAACCCCAAGTCCCCTCATAAAAAAATAAATGAATGAATAAACCTAATTACCTCCTATCCAAAAAAAAAAAAAAAGACCTTGGCAGGATATATAAAAACATAAGTATGCCTATGTAAGGTAATTAGAGCACATAGGTTAATGCAAGAAAACGATTTCATTGTTGAGGAAAACCTCATTAGAAACAAACATGTGGTGTATATTATTTGTACTAAGATGGAATGTAGTTTTTTAGTGTATAAATTTAAGTTTAGAATTTTGTCCTGATGACTAGATGAAATACGGGACAAAATATTGGCTACATACCTAGAGAAATGTATTTTGAAACCCATTGTCTTCACTCTACGTCACTGAACACACGCTCATGAGAAACCATGTTTAAAGCTGGAATTTTTTTTTCTGCCACACTTTGGGCACATTTGATCTACGTAAGTTTTTCCAACGGATATGCTGTTGTCATTATGTCTTTTAGATAACGTACAATGCAGGGTCCACTGAGACACACACATTTTCCTATTCACTGCTGTAACTCAGCACCCCAAAGAATGTCTGGGCAGGCAGGAGGCCTTCAGATTTTTTTTTTCAATGAACATATAATCAGGGAACACTTGAAGAGGATCAGAAAAGAAGTAAAAAAAAAAAGTGCTAGAAGAAGAGACATGCAGAAAGACTCATATAATTGGGGTTAACTTAATGGCAAAAAGGTGAAGTATTTCACACCTATAAGAATATGTACGTTATTACCCCTCTAAGAGTTATGGTTTCATTTATTATGGAAAAGTATAAGAATCACTAACACCTGAGTTTCACAGTAAAGTAGTTAAAACATCTTCATGGAAGACATTACAACCTGAAAAGATACTTATCCATTTAGTATGGCTGGATGTGGTCTTCCATGCAAGTGAATTACTAGACAAGTCCTGAAGGCCTATACACACCCTGGGAATCAGCATGAATGATTCCCAAAGATACCAGATATGGCTGATCATGTGTGGTTTGCAAGCACAATTCCTAAATTCCACTGGGCTGCAAAACATAATTTTGCTATTCATTCAAAAAAAATGACTAAGATGGAATCCAGAGAAAATTTCAACGCCTGGCCCAAAATATACAGATTCAAAATATTATCTAATATATCACATATGTGAACAACTATATGGGTGACATACTCATTAATGTTTTACATGTGAAATCTAGCACACTGTTTGACTTTTAAAAAATGAGTTACAGGATAAAGGATTCACTTCTACCCATAAGTGAAAGAAGAATATTTCACCTTTTACCTACATAGTTCTCTAAAATCACATGTTCTTGGTCCTAAAACCCCACTGGATGGAAAAAGCAAGACTCATTTTTATTCACCTTAAGAGTGGAGTGAGTTTACAGGATCCTCTAATATGTAACTACAAGACTCTGACTTCGGTCAAGGACTATTTAGGACTCAGTGAGTAGATTTTCCACTCTCAGTCATGAGGACCTGAGAATGGGGAAATGACAATCACTCTGAGGTATGACTGACCAAATTTCTGTTTCTATCTTCATAATTATCTTGAAAGATTAAATAGTATCTTCCCATCTGAAAAAGAGCTGTGCTTGACATTTAATCAAATTCTGGTGAAACGTATTCATTGTGTATCATCACTAATGACACTTAAACAACCTATAAACACCATGGCCTAATGAACAGAGGATGGAGCCCATCTTCAGGCTCAGTGGCCTCAGTCTCAGGCCACGTCAGCCTCTGGGAGAAGTCCTGAAACAGCAAGAGCTGCCCCAGAGCCTGGCACGGCACCAAGATCTGATCTTCAGAAGGTAACATTCCACAGCAGGAATGTCTGGAGCAGTGAACGCTCTGATGTAATGGTAAGTTTCAATGATCTCAAAGAGGAAGACTTTATTAATAGACTTTTTTCTCTTAAAAATTTCTTTTATTGCTTTAATATTGTCTGCAATTTTCCATCTCTGTTAATTTCATAGGAATACAGGAAGAATCAAAAAGATAATATTTATAAAGCTTTTAAGGTTCCTGGAAAAAATGTGTTAAATATCCAGAGATATTTATACCTCCCATAAAAAACAGAATAGAATATTTCAAAGATCTGAAAAAATCAATATACTTTGTTTTTGGGCACAATGTTTTGACAAAGCAAGTAAATACCAGGTTGAACTGAAGTCATAAGTGTAAATTAAACTTACAAGAATATCTAACTTTCTATAATAAAAAGCATAACATTTTAATGCCTTTAAAAGTATATGCTATTTTAACCAATGACTGTTGCATGTACTGTCATTAAGAAGCAGTAATGATGAGCATTATCCACAAAATAGCATATTTAGCCAAATGCTAGGCTCTTACAACTGTGTGATTCACGATTAAACGTAACTTGTTTTTCTGTGATGTCAAAATAATCCCTTTTAAATCAATGCATATTTTAAAAAATGCCTCCTACCTTTCTGTTGAAAAGGAAGGGAAATGCAACGTATCGCTCCAGAATTTACCTTGAACAATGAATTGTTCCATGTTTTCTTTGAAAGGCTGGATGTGCTCTTTTGAGGATACCTGGTACACTTTCCCTGCTTCAACCTCACAGGCTGCAATTAGAGAGACATTGTTCAGAGTGTCATACTGTTAATGGTACATTAAAATGATTTTAAAATATATTAGAGTTAGAATATCCTGTTTACTGTAATAATTGACATAAGTCTATATATATTTTGGAAACATCCAAATACTGACAAAGAAAGCCTATGAACAAGGCTTCACTTTAGGGGATGGTAAAAATAAATTTTAAAAATTATAGTAGTTGACATACAACATTCTGTTAGCTTCAGGTGTATAACATAGTAATTCAACATTTAAATACATTATTAAATGATCACAAATCTAGTAACTATCTGTAACTACACAGTTACTACAATATTATTGACTATACTCCTTATGTTGTATATATCATAATTTATTTTAGATTAAGTAGCAGATTGTACCTCTTATCCACCTCACCTTTTTTAACTGTGCCCACACCCCTACCCCTGGCAACCATGAGTTTATTCCCTGTATCTATGACTGTATTTCTGTTTTGTTTTGTTTGATCGTTTGTTTTGCTTTTTAGATTCCACATATAAGCAAAGTCATGTGGTATTTGTCTTTCTCTGACTTATTCTACTTAGAATAATACCCTCTAGGTTGATCCATGCTGTGACAAATGGAAAGCTCTCCTGTTTTATGTTTGAGTAATATTCCACTGTGGGTGTGTGTATGAAACATATATATGCATATATATATAAAACAAATCTTTATCTATCCATCTATGGTGGACTCTTAAGTTGCTTCTATATCCCAGTATTATAAATAATGCTTCGATGAACATAGGGGTGCCTCTATCATTCTGAAGTAGTGTTTTTCTTTTTGCGGGGGGAAATACCCAGAAGTGAAATTGCTAGGTCATATGTTAGTTTTATTTTTAATTTTTTGAGGAATCTCCATGCCGTTTTCCATCGTGGGTGCATGCATTTACATTCCTACCAATAGTGCACAAGGGATCCCTTCTCTGCAACATTCTCCCCAATACCTGTTATTTCTTGTCTTTTTGATAATAATCATTCTGACAGGTGTGAGGTGGCATCTCATTGTGGTTTTGATTTGCATTTTCCTGATGATGAGTGATATTGAGCATCTTTTCATATGTTTGTGAGCCAGCTTTTTGTTCTGTGGAGAAATGTCTGTTCAGGTCCTCTGCACAATTTTCAACTGAATTTTTTTTTAAGTTTTATGATTTCCTTATATAATTTGGATATAAACTCCTTATCAGATAAGTTATTTGCAAATATCTTCTATCATTCAGTAGGCTTTTTGTTTCATTGACAGTTTCCTTTGCTGTGCAAAAGCCTTTTCATTTGATATAGTCCTATTTGTTTACTTTTGCATTCCTTACCCTTGCCTGAGGAGACAGATCTAAAAAAAATATCCCTAGGACTGATACAAAGAACATACTACCTATGTTTTCTTGTAGTTGTTCTGCGATTTTAGGTCTTACATTTATGTCTTTAACCATTCTGAGTTTATTTTTGTGTACGATGTAAGAAAATAGCCCAGCTTCAATCTTTTGCATGTGGTTGTCCAGTTTTCCCAAAAACTCTTATTGAAAGGCTACTGTTTCCCACTGTACATTACTGACTCCTGTGTCACAGATTAATTGACCATAAAACTGGGTTTTTTTCTGGGCTTTCTATTCTGTTCCATTGGTTTATGTGTCTGTTTTTCTGCAAGTACCATACAGTTTTGATGCTGTAAGCTTTGTATTATAGTCTTTGTATTATAGTCAGTTTTACTTCTTCCAATTTGGATGCCTTCTATTTCTTTTTCTTCTCTGACTGCTGTGGCTAGGAATTCCAATAATATGATGAATAAAAGTGGTGAGAGTGGGCATCCTTGTTTTGTTCCTGATCTTAGAGGAAATGCTTTCAGCTTTTCACCATTGAGTATGATGTTAGCTGTGGGTTATTCATCTATGGCTTTTATTATGTTGAGGTATGTTCTCTCTATGCCCACTTTCTGGAGAGTTTTTATCATAAATGGATGCTGAATTTTGTCAAAAGCCTTTCCTGCATCTACTGAGATGATTATATGTTTTATACTCTTCAATTTCTTAATGTGGTGTATCACACTGATTGATCTGCAATATTGCAACATCCTTGCATCCCTGGGATAAAATCCATGTGCTCATGGTATATGACCCTTTTAATGTATTGCTGAATTCAGTTTGCTAATATTTTGTTGAGGAATTTTACATCTATGTTCATCAAAGATACTGGCCTATAGTTTCCTTTTTTTTGTGGTACCTTTGTCTGGTTTTGGTGTCAAGAGTAATGCTGGCCTTGTAGAATGACTATGAAAGCAATTCTTCTTCAGTTTTTTCTGGAAGAGCTTGAGGAGGATAGGTATTAACTCTTCTTTAAATGTTTGGTAAATTCCCCTGTGAAGCCACCTGGTGATGAACTCTGTTTCTTGGGAGTTTTTTTTTATTTCTTATTCAGTATCATTACTAGTAATTGGTCTGTTCAGATATTCTACTTCTTCCTGATTCAGCCTTAGAAGATTTATGTTTGTAGGAATGTATCCATTTCTTTTAACTTGTTCAATTGCTTGGCATATAACTGTTTTTAATAATCTCCTATAATCCTTTGTATTTCTGTGGTATCAGTTGTAACTTTTCCTCTTTAATTTCTCATTGTATTTATTTGGGCCATCTCTATTTTTTTGTGGTAAGTCTGGTTAAGTGTTTTGTTTAGTTCTTTTTCTGAGATTCTGTTTTGGTCTCTCATGTGGAGGGTATTCCTTTTTCTCCTCATTGTGACTAATACTTCATTTGTTTCCATGTATTAGGGAGATCAGCTACATCTCTCAATTTTGTGTAGAAGGTGTCATGGGTGGCCAGGTACATGATTCCCCACGATTGCCAGAGCCAGGTGCTTTAGAAGTGTCCCCTGTGTGGGCTGCAGGTGCCTTCCTGTTGTGGCTGGGATGCACCTGCTGCAGGTGTACTGCTGTGTGAAAATGGAGTCACTCTGGGGGACACTGGTGCTGGCCAAGGGTGCTCACTGGGCCTGGCAGAGCTGGGGGCCACTTTGGAGGAGTACAGGCTGGGTCAAGTCTGTAGTGAACCTGCAGTGGGGGAGTGGTGCTGTTAATTTAGATACGCAGTAAGAAATGGTGCTAGTCCAGCTAGGCAGAGGGTGAACCAAAAAACCAAAAAAACCCAACCAATCCCCGACCCACCCATACACACACACACACACACAAAACAAACCAAAAAAATGGCACATAACAAAGATAGAGTTCCTGGGAAATTTGTGTTACAGTCAAGTCTAAAGGCTGTTAATGTAACTGAGTAATTCCAATCATGTTGGCTTTTGTTTAATTAAAAAACTTTCTGATTCAAAATGGTTAATGTATTATGTTAGAAAGGGAAGCATGAGTTAGGCTTTCAAATACAGAGAAAAATCCTGCGAGAAGATAAGAACTAAAATCTCTTGGGTATTGCCACTGGAAAACTGGTCCCAATACATCAATGCCACCATATTGGTATGTTTAGGGGGACAGAGAAAATATCATCTTATCACTATTTCATTAAAGCAGGAACACTGCCATTCTCTGAACTGAATCATGATCATGAGGAGTCTAATTTTTTTTTAGGGAATTGAAATACTCAAACTATAACTTCTACAAGTCTCCAACTTCAGTCAATGTTTGTAAGTTTCTAGTCACTGCTTTTCTGTAGGCTTCCAGAAGGTCACTGGTATCTACAAACTTGCCTCCAGCACATTTGAAGGAACCACATAACAGACATAACCACATAAGAACAATGTTGAGTATATCACAATTTTTTTTTCCAAAAACCAAATTGTTTCCCATTAGAAAAACATAATTCAAAAAGACATGAGCACTCCAATGTTCACAGAAGCACTATTTACTATAGCCAAAACATGGAAACAACCCAAATGTCCATCAACAGATAACTGGATAAGAAAGATGTGGTGTACATGTATGTATACATATATAGAAACACACACACACACACACACACACACACACACACACACACTGGAATACTACTCAGCCATAAAAAATACAATGCCATTTTTCACCAGCATGGATGGACCTGGAGATCGTACTCTAAGTGCAGTAAATCAGAGTGAGAAAAAGTAATGCCATATGATATTGCTTATATGTAGAATCTAAAAATAGGACACAAATGAACTTATTTACAAAACAGAAAAAGACTCACAGACATAGAGAACAAACTTATGGTTATGAGTGGGTAAAAGGGGTGGGAAGGGATAAATCAGGAATTTGAAAATTACATCTCTTGGGGAGTGATGGAAATGTTGGCTGTCTTGACTTGTGGTAGTGTTTTCATTGGTGTATACATCTATGAAAATTCATCAAATTACACATTTGAAATATATATAGTTTACTGTACAGGAACCATACCACAATAAATGTGTTAAAAAATAGGTCAATGATGAACTCAAAGAAGAAATTAAAAAATACTGAGACAAATGACAATGAAAACACAACACAACCACACAAAATCTATGCAAAAGCAGTCAAAAGAGGGAAGTTTATAACAAATACAGCCTTTCTCAAAACACAAGAACAAGCTCAAATAAACAACCTAAATTACCACCTAAAATAATTAGAAGAACAACAAACAAAACCTAAAGTCAGAAGAAGGAAAGAAATAATAAAGATCAGGGAGGAAATAAATAAAATAGACACAAAAACAACAGAAAAAAATCAATCAAACCAAGAGCTATTTTTTTGAAAGAGTAAACAAAATTGACAAACCTCTGGCCAAGCTCACCAAGAAGAAAATAGGACACAAACAAAATAAGAACTGAAAATGGAGAAATAACAATCAACATCACAGAAATTTAAAAAAAATACTATGAACAACTATATGGCAACAAACTGTACAGCCTAGAAGAAATGGACATGTTTCTAGAAATATACAGCCCACCAATACTGAATCAAGAAGAAATAGATAATTTGAACAGACCAATCACTAGAGGCGAACTTGAATCGCAATAAA